TCTATTTTTTACTGTCACCCCCTCTTAAGGAGTCCCCCAAACATCTCCTCATGGTTCTGGTAGAGCTGCCAATCATGGCCCCACATACATCTGGCCACAGTAATTGGGCAAAGGGGTGAGTACATGACCTAAACTGCTGATCAGATTTTCTGTTTCAGGAATTTGAACCTTGAATTGAGACCATAAGGTCAGAGAACAGATAGTGCTGAGTCATCAGATGGAGATAGTCTAGAAGCTCTGCCACTGAAACCCTGGGTCAGTCTTAGTCTGTGACCTTCCAAAGGCTTGAGTGTTAACTTCTTCCTTCCTTTGATCCTGTGAGCTCCTCCATTGTTCTTCCAGTAAATTTCCCAAGCTCTTTTTTAAAAGTCCATTTTTATTGCTAATAAAGGGTTAGATTGATATGCATCCATTATATAGTATTCATCTTCTCTTTATTTTTTAATTTTTTTTTTTTTTAAGAGATGGGGTTTTGCCCTGTCACCCAGGCTAGAATGCATTGGCACAATCACAGCTCACTGCACCCTTGAACTCCTGGGCTCATGAGATCTTCCTACCTCAGTCTCCCCAGTAGTTGGGACTACAGGCGTGCACCACCATGCCCAGCTAATTTTTAAATTTTTTGTAAAGACAGGATCTTACTATTTTGCCCAAGCTGGTCTTAAACTACTAGCCTCAAGCAATACTCCCACTTCGGCCTCGAAAAGTGCTGGGATTACAGGCGTGAGCACTGCACCTCGTCTCTTTTTCCCTTTTAACTTTTATTTACATATTGGTAATTGCTTGGTGTTCTTTTAGGAACAAATATGATTTCCACTAAAAAATGATTTCTGATACAATTTATTTCTTTGTATGGATAGGAAAAGTAGTTTGCTGTCTTACTATTAAAATACTAATAGTTTATGGCTACGGGTGATAATTTTATCCTCCTTCCCCTCAGCCCCATTTCCACTACTATGTTTAATGTTAACAGTGAGAAATGGCAGAGATGGCCATGTCATTGGAGGAAGTGTGAGCAGAAAATGTGTTTGAGCTTTTTTCATTTGCCCTGCATGTTCCAGTAGTGTCACTTTCATTGATTTTTTTGTTGTCTTCCTTATTCTCAGTTATTAGCATACTTTTTTCTACCTGATATTAATACTTCAGTTCATAAGCTTTAGTTTATATAATATCATATTTGATGATTTATTTTAAATATGTGATCTTAGTTATGGTGACAATCTCTTTTACAGTTAATGTTAAATGTAAAGGTACGTTTTTCTAGAATGTACTTTGGGTGGATTATATTCAGTAATTCCAAATATGGGCTAATGTTGGGACTTTCAGGGTCTGCCTCTTCCCTGAAAAATGGCATGGTTTTCACTGGCAGAAAGGAATTAGAAGAATGTCTAATTCTTCATACAGGACATTCTGGAATTTGGCATGTTAGAGATGATGTTTATCAGGTTTTTGATGCCCTGTGACTTCCTTTTAACTGATACTGTGGAGATCTACAGCAATTTATTTGTCTTTAATTCACAGAGGCAATATTCTTAGCATTGTTTTGTGGTTTAAAGTTAGTCTTTAATACTTTTTAAATAGCACTAAGAAGAGTAGTTTTATATATGAAAGATTTCATGGCCTTCCTAACAACTATAATAACTCTCAGATATTAGAGCTAATGCCTGATTGCTTTTGCTCCATTCTTTTACACTATGTGTATGAATTAGCTTTTTTTGTGGGATGATTGGTTCTTTTTTTTTTTTTAACTCTCAAAAATAACAACAGTCTTTGGTTAAAATTTTAACCTTTCAACCTTTTGGGAACAATTGGGGAAATCTGACAATAATCTTACTTCCATCTTATTATTGTTAGGATCAGAAGAGATTATATATTAAAGGGGAGCAAGTCCATATTAAGAGAAAGGTACCAGGAAGTTGGCTTGGATCATCACTGGCAAAGGGCATTAATTCTAAAACTCCCCAGCATCAAAGCCCACTTTTTTCACATTCATGTCTCAGAAAACGTACAAGTCTCTTTCAAATGTTTGAAGTTCCAAATGTTAGACTCACCCTTGGCATTGACAGATTTTAGTATAGTACTTCTAAAACTACGCTGTCTTTTCTGTCTGTCTTAAGTGTGCACTGTGCTTAGTCATTTATTGCAATGACCCACACTGAGCCCAGTACAGCTGTTTGTATTTGCCCTGCAGTGGGAAGTGGACTCGGGCCATGTGACTAAGAAAGCCAGACTGGGGTGTCTTTTCACTTACAGATGTTTTAATGTGCTTAGCATTATCCAATACTAGCAACCGAGATACTCTAAATACCACAGCAGGATCTGATTAGCTTTTTCAGATCACTGCCTTTATTTGCTGTTTGCAAAAAAGCTTAATCCAGTGCTAGAGATCAGGCTTCCTGCTGAGCTCTTGGGTAGTTTCCTCTCATTCTTTGTGTTCACAGTGGCAGGCATTAGTGAGAAGATTCCTCCTCCTTCTGAATTAAAGCTATAAAGTAGTAACTATAGTAGCAAAGGATAAAGAGAAGGAAGAAAACCCAAGGGAAAAGGGAAGACTATTTACTCATACTAAGTAGTTTCCTTTTTATATAAAAAAGAAAAAGTTTTAATATGAATTCATAAATACTGACCTCACTGTCTCTTCAATCAGTGCATAGCTATTAAGTTTTATTAGGTTTTAGTTGTAACTACTTTGTTTGGATGTATGTTATGTTTTTCATTTTTATCATATTTAATCAAACTCGGTTTTACTAGAATTATATTTACTAGCCATAGCAGTGGCCTTGATTTCTCTCTTATTCTTTTCAGGATTGATACCTTTTTTACTCATGAGATTTCAAAAAGAACTACCACTACCACCGCCAGAAATAAAAAAAAAAAAATAAATTCTAACTTTCTTCATTTCTGTGACATCCATTTGCTCACCCAAGATGAGAAATTTGAATTCTGTGTAATTCACATTGTGATTTACGATAAACTATACTGGTAGAGATGCTTTTTCTTGATTTTTAATGGGTTTATGAAATTAGACCATAGCCTTAACTATTTCAGTAACATTACTGTAATCCTTGGCAGAAAAAGAACGGTTCTTACTTTAGAAATTAGTTTGACATTCAGAACCTAGTAATTATATTTAGCTCAAAAACATTTTCACAGATTTTTAAGTTTTCTCACATTTTTAGAATAGCATACTTCAATAAGATATTAAGCTCTTTTGAGGAAAAACTTCTATAAACAAATGGTGATCTATAATGACATACTTTCAATTTTAATTTTCTTTCTGGAAACAGAAATTTTTAGGTGTTTAATAGGCATAAGGAATGTTTTTAGTGCAATAACTAAAAAACTCCTAACTATATAGAATGGATCTTCCTCTTATTTTGTAAATAGAGGAGATCTCATTTGCATTTGAGTGGGCACAATGAGGACAGGGCCAGGAGTCCCAAATCAGTGTTACTTTTTTCTAAGTATTCACAAATGATCCTAATTGTGTGTAGCCTCTGTATTTGTGTATGAAAAAGAGATTGATTTAGATTGTGTGGGGTGCTTTAAGTTTTATATCTTTAGAGTTCATGATCATGTAACAAAAAAGTCTAGGCTCTGCATATAAATCAGCCTATATCAGAAAATTGTATGTTAAGAGCAGCTCTTTGCCTTCCCTCTTTTAATTTGCACTGGAATGAAAAGGGAATGTGTGTGTGGGTGTGTGTATGTGTGTGTTCTACATCACATAAGTAAACAGGACAGCTATAGATTTCCTTTTTCTTTAGTATGGAAATAACCTTACAACACTGTATAGTGTTTACATTTTGATTGCATTTTTATCATAATCAGAGGCCACTCAAGGTATAACTTAGCCCACAAAAGCAAGTAGTCCATAGTATTATATTATAAATCGTGTAATCTGAAACTTTGAAATAAATCAACGTTAACAAGCTTCCTCAACAAGGGCACTTATTTTTGTATACTTTATATCCTTCAAAAATATCACAATATTTCCTTATAATGTTAACTTGTTCCTGAACTGAAATTTGTATTACATCTTATAAATTTCATGAAATACAAATACTTTTAACAGGTATAAAATGTTGTATGTTAAAACATAATAAAAGACTTTGCTTCTGTTTAGTTACATGGTTAACTAGTATCTCATACTAAAAGAATTTTACACTGCTATTTGACATACGTAAGGCTATTCTGATGATTTTAGGTTGAAGTTAAATAGTTTTGTCTAATTGCACAGTTTAGATGACTCATTTGGCATAAAGTTGGACCAAACTTTTAACTAAGTTTCACTTTTCGTTAACTTACTTTTTAAATTCAATTCTATTTATAAGCCCTTAAACCTTTTTCTTTTGCAATCTTATTTTCATCATCTTTTTTTTTAGTTTTATTATCTTGCAACAAATTAGCACTTAAAAATACAGATTTTCTACTATTTCCAGGGAAATAGTTTTACTATAACCTTCTATCTCATTTCACCAGCAACTCATTTATTAAAGAAAGGAATTGCTGCAATAGTTAATTGCAACTTTGACACACCCCATTTTCTTTATTTAATAAAAACAAAAAGCTAATAGATTAGAGTATAGCCTCAACTTTTTGGAAACATGCAACTTTTACTGCTTTAAAATATAATTGGTTTCTTTGTTTCATGCATTAAAAACAAGGAGGAAAAGCTGAAGTCTGCCCAAGCCAGGTGTTTCTTGTTGGCAGCCTGCTCCCTAATGACTCTGCTCTCATGGAGCAGCTGCCTACTAGTCAGCTTTGTATGGCCTATTGTTGCTGCACACCCCTCGTTAATACACATGCTGCCCGGGGCAGACCCAGAGAATGACATCAACTTGCTTATCTTAGAAACCTAGGAACCTGACGCAGGGTGCTGAGGTTGTCTTGCATCTGCCTGGCCAACTAATTGTGAGCTTTCTGGCCTATGATTGGCTGTTATTCCACTCGGTAATAGGTTAAGCAAAGACATTGCTATTCCATCTGTTCAACCATTCATTGTTCTTCGTGCCTGCCTGGAAGTCTGCAGCTAAAATTGTGTTAAGGAGTTTACTGTGAAGCTGCTACAGAAACCAATGTCTTTGTATTTTCCTGCTAACGTGAGTATCTGTGCTACTTAATGCCTTGGAAGTTAAACTTTGCTAAATATTCAGAGTATGAATTTGAACTCTGTAAAAGATAGAAAGCACCTCAAATGAAAGCCTACAAATTATTACATAGTGCCAACCTACCAGAAAATATAATTCTTTCTGTAAATATGTCTGTGAAGCAGATTTTTACATTTTTGTATTCTGGAGTTACATAAATAATTACGTATAGCTTCAAGAACATTTGTAAGGCATTAAGCATGGCATGTAATCATTTGGAGCTTAAGGACAAGTTATAAAAAAATTCTGATATTTTAATAAACAGTGATTTAGATTTTATCTTCTTGTCAAATTCAAGTTTCTTAAGATGTCACTTTCATATCTAGGTGCTGTTAAAATGATGGTAAAATTTAATATAGATTTTTCCATTGTCTTAAAAGTCTAGCTAGAGGAGATTGATTGATATAGGTAGATGTTTCAGCTATAGGTAGATGGTGATTAAGCATTCAGTTGCTTTGTCAGCAATTTGAATATTCATGTACAGTTTCTAATTTCTTTTCTCCCTCCTGTTTTTTCCTTTGCATTAGTTTCAGATATTAGACTGAAGATGTCATTGCAAGAACTATTGCTTTCAAGAGTTCTGTAATGGGGAAGGGAAGAGACAAAGACTTACATCTATCAGTTGGGAGGGAAAGAAAGAGCATAAAGGGTTAAAAAGAGGTTTTCATTTCTACCACATGCCCTATTGTGTGAACATATGCATAAGTCTATTGAAAGTTTTCAGAAGATGGGCAGGCCACCAGTTGCTGGTCTCCTGCAGTTCCAGTAGACATCTGTTGCCCCAGAGCATTAACCAATCTGTTCAAAGGGACATCCTTCCTTTGTTAGCTAGAGGGATGCAGACAACAGCACTCACTCAAATACAATGGTAATTAAATACACAGAGACTACAGCAGTCGGTATTTATTACATATTCATTATTTTATCTTCATTGTTCTCATAGTATTACCATTTGGATAGCAACCAGAACCCACTTTTATGGCATTGTAACTTTACAAACAAATAAATTGGTTTAACAAGTTTATGGTATAATATTCCTGATTAATAGGTGGCTCTCTAGAATATAAAAAAAAAATTTACATCATTTGATATGAAGATATCAAGATAACTTGATAATCCAAGTTATCTAATGAGAACTTTCAGAAAATCTCTTCACTAAATGGAAGAATTTTAGTGTATGTGATAAATTTCTAGTGAATAGCTATTACATCATAAACCTGCATTCAGCTAATATAAAGTTTCTTTTGGCAATTGAAAGAATTAGTTACACTTCATCATCATCTACAAAATGAACATGAAGATTTAGTTCTTTTTTCAACAAATAATATTATTTAATTTTTAGCTTGCTCTTAGCAAGAAAAATTGACTTTCCAGTATAGTATCTGGAGGGAATCTATAGATCTGTAATTTTAGAAGGCTATTTTTAGATCATTATATTTTTTCCCAATACCTTCTGTGTTCAAGAGTATGATATGTAAAGGCCACTTATAGTGGATCCCTGATCTAAAGTTTAAAAGTGAAGCTGTATTTCTTGGAATTTTTTGATAACTGTGGGAATATAAACTGACCTACTTTGTGAAACTGACTACGCTGCTTCTTTGTGAAATGAGGAAAATTACCCTTGTTTAATATTTAGTTGATTTAAATTTAAGATGATTTATATAAGTTTGCATTTGAGTAAATGCAAAACTTAAAAGTCTAATAAGTGGTTTAAAAATGAGAAAAGTATTTTCTACCTTACATGTAAGAGTACATTTTGTTGTGTGACTGGTGTTGTTTCTGTCTTCTTAAAAATTATGTGGATCGTTTTGAAGGTGCTGAACAAAAATAAAGATTATATACCATTCTTTTTCTGAAGTTTCTCATAATAATTTATTTCTCATAATAATTCCTTGTGAGTTTTACATATTACATGAACAAATACTGCAGTCTATGAAAATATTTTATGTTTTTAAATCTTTAGCATTTAACTTTTTATTGATGATTTCAAGATTTTGCCAAATTCTGGGTTGTTTTTAAGTGCTATGTAAAGTCAGGGCAATCCTTTACTAATTACAAATGGGTAAGGAAGCATTCTAAAAATTAAAGTTTTAAAAACTGAATCTTTACGATTTACATCAATACAAATCAGGTTATTTCAAATTTGTATTAGGTGATAGAGAATATATATGTGGCTTATAGGCCTAGAAATTTTACTCACTTGTCCTTATTTGTACTGTTTCTTATTTAATCTCTTGCTTTACAGGAACTAAAAATCATTTAACTGCTTGTTTAGTACAAGATGACATTGGATAACTTTCTCTGCACTAACCATTGAAATCTAGGAGATGAAGAGATGCCTGTCAGTATGCAAAAAATTCAACCAGAATACTTTAAAAAAAAAATTATTTTGCCTAACAAGACTGAATGTTAATTTTTAAAAAGTAGGTCAAGCTTACATTTACCCTTAGCATAAAAATCAACCTAATTATTGTAAACCTTTTATTTAAATATTATGTGCAAATTACATAAATTATCACAAGTTAAAGGTGTGTGGCATTCACTAAATACATTGGTATTTAGTGGAGGGAGTTTTGTGTAGTTTAATATAAAAAGCAAACAACTGATAATCCCATTTTTTTCTCCCTCTTATCATTATAGCCATATCAAATTATATAGTAGAGCAGACCTAGGTAATGTCATCAACACTTTTTTAAAATATTAGATTGAAGATATAGAAATATTTAAATAGTTTCTTAGAGTGATTAATTTTCAGTTTAAAAACTTTACAGTGTCTGGTTTTGTTTCTTTGAAAAACATAAAAATTAAGAATAATTTCACTTATCCTTTAAGAGCAAAACATTTCATTCTAATGTTCCCTTCTGACTGTATTTTTCGAAGTATTCATCCTGATATAGTTAAAAAACAAAAAAAACAAAAAAAATCCACTACTGCTCAATATTAAAATAATATTTCCTAGTTCAGTTCAGAGATTTGGTCAGCAAATCATTATCTTGAAGAATTATCTCACAACAGCACTTATGCAAAACCCAAACTTTTCAGGGGAGATCAAAAATGTTGCCCATTAAACGTACTTCCTGCAGTCAGAGCAGATTGTGGGGTTTACAGAACAATGATGTCGGAGCTTCCAGATTGGTTTGGCAGCTGCATTGTTCTCGGAGGGTAAACCAGACGCACTTAAGTCCCAGTCTCTTTTATAGGCTTTTGTTCATACCAAATTATTCTTTCACTGTGCTAGCATTCATGATGGCATGTTAAAGGAGTGCAGCTTAGCAACCAGCTTCTGGTTGCCAGGCAGCCCAGCTTCCAATAGGTTTTCCTTGTTTAAGATACTTTTGGTGGGAGCTCTACGAAGGCCACAGTGTGGATTTTTCTTTTAACTGTATCCCTTTATTAGGATGCTGTTGTGATTTGTTACTTGCCTTATGGTGTTAGTATATTACAGTAGTTAATAAATCACAGGGTGTACAGATTTGCTTTCAAAATCCCTTCAATTCTCAGTAATTGGTCTCATGCATATCATATGAATAGGTAAAAAATCGAAATGTATACAGCTTCATAGTGAAGCAGATGAATATAGAGCTCTCCTAAGGGATATTTCTTTTTTATCAGTTGTGCAATCAGGAGCTAGGAGAGTTTGATGTTTCTTTAAAACTAATGAATGCTATATTATTAATAGAACAATGATATTAAAGTTGTCTGTCTTCTCAGGGAACAACCTCCTGAAGAAACTCCTATAGAAGTGTGTAGGAGTTCTACACAGAAGGAATTTTAAGTGTATTATCAAGCTAGAGATTTCATGTTCTCCTCTCTAGTATTTACCGTAGTTAACGAAATTTATTTCATTATGTTGAAATACTTGACTCTAGTAAGTTTACCAGGTATGCTTTCAAATTTGTGACTTCTCATAAAATCACTTAGCATTTTCTTTTAACATTTTTATAATAGCTCTTTTTTAGTGTAAATATGATGTTGAAGAGCTTTAGAATAAAATATTTTCCCACTTTTTTTCCTAAGGTTATTTCAATAAGTGTTTTATGACAGTCTCAAATTCAGCTACCACTGGCTTACTAATGTTATACCTCGGTAGAACGCTGGATTTGCCTTAATAAGTAAACCACTGATGTGGATATAGTCCTTATAATGAAGCACAAGAGAAAATAGCCTTATTTTTCTATCCTGTCCCTAGTAGGGAAAGAACAATTATTTCCAATATACTTTAAGAAAAAATAGTAAAACAGTAAAAGCATTTAAACAGTAGAAGTATTCCTATGGTAGAAAATAGGATAAAAAATGACTTTTTAACCAAATGCAAATTAATGGCTAATTAATCTGATGTAAGACAAATATTTTCTGACATAAAATTCAGGAAACTGAAATAACATTATTTATTTAATGTACTTAATTATTTACTGCTAATTTTATGTGATATATTAAATTTCTCTGCTTTCCATAAATGCACATAGAATAAAACAACTTTTATTTTTTTCCTGGATTGAAATAGACTATAGTGTCCCTGGTGCTTAATAAGGGTAACATAACGTTAAAAATTATATCATGTTACCATGTTCCATAGTCACGAAATCATGTTTATTATGGCAAAACTTTATTCATCTCTAAGTGAAATTTAATTTATTTTGTAATTATTTAATCCCTTGCTAGCCATTTTAGAATATGTGCTCTTTCATTGCAGTATCTACATTCTTTTTGAAACTTCTTTAGATTGTTGTTAAACATCCAAATTAATAACAGTTTTTTAAGTATGATAGTGTTTTCCTTTTCTTTCTACATGGCTTTCTCTTTAAAATAATTTTTACAGATTTTTATGAATTCTATTATACAAAATACAAATAACTTGTCATGGAATATCTAAAACATGTTGTTTGATAATACTCTATGTATCACACTAGAATTATAAATCTTTCTAAAAGTAGAAATATCTCTTCCATCGAGGTTGAGAAGAAGCATGATTTAGTGGGAAAAGCATGGGTTTTGGAGTCAGGAAACTAGGTTAAAAAATCCAGTTCTGCTACTTATTTGCTTTGTTGCCTTGGAGCAATTACATGGCCTTTCTAATTCGTAACTTCTTCATCTGCAAAATGGGGCATGATACTATCTTGGCAAGGGTGTTGTGAGGGAGGAGAAGATGTAGATAAAATACAAAGTAGGTATTCAATAGTTTAGTAATTCTTTTCTGACTTCTCTGTTGAGACAAATCTGACCATAAATATGAAATTGTAAATATTTTACATTTTTCTCTAGGAATACGGGGTGCTTTGCATTCAGGAGTACAGAAAAAACAACAAAGTGGAGTCAAGTACACTTAACAGCTTCATGGGCTTGAAGGATCACCTGGGGCACGACCTCAGCCACCTGTATGTGGAGAACACTGACCCACAGTTAAGTGCAGCTGTACCTTGGTCAACGGTAGATAAACCAACAATGGATACAGTTAATGCTGGGAAGGATGAAAAAGAGGTGTCTGAAGAGAATGCAAGCTCTGGTGACTCTGAAGAAAGCACAAATTCTGATCATGAGTCAGAACAATTGAGTAGCATTTCAGTAGAGCCATGCTCATTAACCAAGACTCACAGACAACTATGTAGGTCTCCCTGTTTAGAGCCTCACATACTCAAGCGCAATGAAATTTTGCAAGACTTTAAACCCGAAGAGTCCCAGACTACATCCAAGGAAGGGAAGAAACCCCCTGATGTGGTACGAGAATACCAAACGAAACTGGAGTTTGCACTTAAGTTAGGTTATTCTGAAGAACAGGTTCAGCTTGTGCTAAACAAACTTGGTACAGATGCTTTAATCAATGATATTTTGGGAGAACTTGTCAAACTTGGAAATAAAAGCGAGGCTGATCAAACAGTTAGTACCATTAACAGTATAATGCGGGAAACATCTTCCCTGGAATCTCAGCGGTCTGAATCTCCAATGCAAGAGATTGTAACAGACGACGGTGAAAATCTGAGACCAATAGTTATTGATGGCAGCAATGTGGCAATGAGGTAAGTGGAAAAATCTTTGCTGAAAATTACCAGCTGATCTTTAAAAATTATTTCTAATGTCATGGCTGTTTTCTTTTCACAGTCGTTAAGGTCAACATTATTCTGTATCCCAATATTAGCTTTAGAAAGCATTAGTTTTCTCTCTCTCTCTCCTTTCAGGGCGCACAGCCATCTTCACCTCATTTGTACCTGTGTAGAGACCCCCGTTTCTAAAAGATGTCTCTTTTTTTCTCATCTGGCTAAATTACTGAGTTATGAAAATTAGTGTATGTTCCTGCTTTAGTATTAATCACTAGTTTGAAATGAAGAACTTGAATATGATAATATTCAACAATTTTGGAATCTAGCCAAATAGTCCATTTCTATATGGAGTTGAAATAACCATAGGAAAATACCCTAATTCTTCTAGACGTAAACTATTTGTTTTATTAATTTGAGAGCAAATCAGAGCTATCATTTGAAGTGTTTTGCTCCATTCAGATGCAATTCAAAAATAATTCTCTAGGAGCTAGGGGGAAAAAGAAACAAAAGCCAAACCTCTAATGAAATTTTGTTTTTTGATGAATTTTGGTGGCTCAAAATTTAAAGCACACTCAAATTCAATCAGTATCTAATTAACTACCCACAATGTTCAGAGCACTGTGAGGATTAAAAGATATATGTATAAAAGTGTCAGTTCTTTTTCTGGAGAGCTTAGAGTTTCACATATTGTTTCTCAGAAGGTGATCTGAGGATGCCTAGCACAGAATCATCTGGGGACCTTGTTAAAAATGCAGATTCTATAGCAGTGCTGTTCCGTGGAAATACAATATAAGCCATGTATGTCATGTTAAATTTTCTAGTACCTACATTAAAAAATAAAAAGGAACAGGTAAAATTAATGTGAATAATATATTTTATTTGAGGTAATATATCCAAAATGTCATTGTAACATGTAATCAATAAAAAAAAATTATTAAGGAGATTTTGCTTTATTCTTTTGATAGTTAAGTCTTTGAAATCTGCTGTGCATTTTACCTTTATAGTACATCTCCAGTCAGAATAGCTATATTTCAAGTGCTCAGCAGCCATATGTGGCTATTGGCTACTGTTTTGGACAATGTAGTTCTAGAGCCCACACAGACCTACCAAGTCAAGTTCAAAGTGTAGCCCAGGCATTCTCTTGTGAGAAGTATTCCTTCTAATACTGATGTGAACTGAAATTTGAGAACTATTGTTTTTAGTAGGTGATAGCAAGTTCTTCCACATACAAGGACGAGGACCAACATGTAATCATCCAAATAGCCTTTTCAGGTGAAGGCAGTATTATCTTTCATTTATAAGCAAATGAGACATGATTTAAATTACTTCCAAGGCAAAACATAATTTTAACCCAAATATGGCTGACTTCAAAGTCTATACTCTTCATCAATTAATAAAAGGGGAAAAATTAACTTGAAAAGATTCAAGCTGGATCTTACAAGGCCTTGAATGCTAAGATAGAGAATTTTAGTGTGGTTCTGTAATACAAGGGTAATTGAGGGGGGTTAAGTAGAGGAATGGCAAGAGTAGAGTTGTGCCTTATGCTGATAATTTTGCAGTGGTATATAGGAGGTAGGAGATCAATTTGGAGCAAACAACTATATCATAGATGTATGCCTATGGCTTTGAGAAGATCTACAATAAGATTATCTCTCTATTGTTTGATTTTTCCCAAACTTGTCTCCAAAATGATTTTTTTCTTGTAATAATCCATAACTACTTTATGATTTCCTAGTGATAATATGTAAGGCCAAAAGCCACGAAATGGCCAAAGGAGAGAGTAGTGAGGGAAGGTCATAGGTCCTTGAGGAACACCTATAATCATGGCTATATATCGGAATTACCAGAGGAGTTCTTAAAAAATACATCTTCCAGCATTCTACTCTCGTGGAATATAGAATTAGTCTCTATCCACATGTACCCATTAGTTTAAATTCACTTATTTCCTTAAATGAATCCAGTGCTTTTTAAATTTCCCTGTGGTTTTAGGTTCAGATGACTTGTCATGTCATTAAGAAAGTACAATCTTGTGAGCTATTGGAGGTGGGAGTATGATAAGTTGATGTTAGAGCCCTTTGATTCCTAAAAGTGTTTGATTTCTTCATTATGCTTCCGTGACTTAGTCAACTGACTTCATTATGATTAACTAAATCTCCATATCCTATTTTAGCTTCTGCCAAAATTTATAAAAAATGAAAATGGTGAGAGAAAAACCCAGAGCCTCATCATTACCTCTACATCATGCTGTAGCACAGATTCTCCTGCTTAGTGTTGGAATGGAAGCTGGCACGCCAGACTTCTGTTTTTTATAAGAACAGACTATTGAAACTTCTTCCCCCCACCCCACATCATTGCAAATCCTCCCTCTCGGTCAGAAAATGCAGGTTTCTGGAGTTAGATTAAATCTCCTGACTGGTGGGTAGGCTTTATTGGTGCATATTTGTGCAGAGCATTAGGATAAATATTTTGTTCACTAATAATCTCAGGTGAACCACTTTTGGCCAAAGGGATTCATGCTTGCATTGGTACTCTATTAGTGACAGGGAAACACTAGAAGAATTTAAAGGGAAAAGTGGCATAGTAAAATTTGCCTTTAGAAGAGATAACTCTATAGAGAAATTTAGAGAGTGGATTTGAGCACTAAAATTGGGGACAAGGAGACCTACTTATGTTTGAAAATATATGCAATGGTTAAATTATGGACAACTCCTGGAAAAATATGTACTAAGAGTATCATTGTTTTTGTATACCAATCAAATGGTACAGAATAGAAATAAACCAGCCATTTACTTGTGAGTTTATACTCAGCCCCCAAAAAAGACTCATGTTGGAGAGCAGCTGGTGTTAGTACAAATATGAATGTTAACTGGGATGTAGGAAAATACTCCAGGTAATTCATTGAAGTAACTTCCTTAATGTTTGAGGAGTCAGAATATGAACAGAGAAAATGCATGAAGTTGTGATAACTTCCCTTTATATCAAGAACAGCAAGCTAAGCCCATATATTTATAAAATACAAGCAGAATTTAGCAATCTGTGCAATCAGGATTTAAGCTTCTGATTAATCTTGTAAAAAGTACAAGGGCTTTCATATATCTAACCTGCTTTGTGAAGTTATATGAACTTGAGAATTCTTTTCAATGTAAATTTGAATGTCGAAGGCCTTCTGGCCTAGGCTCTAAAATTTGCCTTCAGTTGTTTGGTTGGTTTGCTATCCTGTTGCCTGTTTACTATTTAAGTACAACTTAAAGTTTATAGTTAATTTATAGTTAATAAAATCATCCTGGACACCTAGTTCAAGTGTTTGGTTTAAACTATAAGAGAAACTAAAAATTGCCAGCATTCATTCAAATTTGTTTTACTATGCCACTTACTTAAATTCTTCTGGTGTTTCGCTGTCTCTAACAGAGAGGCAATGCAAGCATGGATCCCACTGGCCAAAAGTGGTTCACCTGAGATTATTAGCAAACAAAACATTTATCCTAAAGCTCTGCACAAACATGCACCAATAAGGCCTACTCATCAGTCAGGAGATTTAATCTAACATTCAAATTATGTATAGTAGACTCGCGTGATCCAATATGGTAACCACTAGCCATGTGGGGCTATTGAACTCTTGAAATATGTCTAGTCCAAATTGAGATATCGTATAAATGTAAAAAAATACTAGGTTTCCAAGACTTAGTACAAAAACATGTAAACTATTTCAATAACTTTTTGTTGATTACATGTTAAAATAATTTGATATATTGAGTGAAATGAAATACATACTAAAATTAACGTCAGCTGCTTTTTAATTTTTTTAATGTGCTGTGCTAGATAACTTAAAACTATATATGCGGTTCACATTATATTTCTATTAGACAGCCTCTCAGTGGAATGTTTCATAAGCCCCAATATTACTAGAAGTAATATTAATTAAAGGATAGCTTACATTCCCTCTAGGTGAGTGCTGCAGGTATTGCTTACAGATTAGTTGGCAGTGAATGCCACATTTCTCTATTGTTTTTAAAGAAAATCCTTACAAGACGACATAAAGAATCAAGGAATCAGAGTTTGTTGTTGTTTAATTATATTAGTGTGGAGTCTGTCAAAGACAAACAAATATTACTTATATTGTGTTACATCTCTTTATAACTCTAAGTACATAATTCCAGTTGTCATCAATATTGTATATTCTAATAGACCAGTGGGCAATAAACTTTCTTATTATCTCAGGTGTGCTAACCTGAGAAACAGCAACCTCGGTAATCCTGTTGTATATAAATAAAGTTAATCGCAGTTCTTCACCTAACTATTGTTACCATTTATAAGAAATGGGTAAAAAAGAAGAAAAATAATTTGAGTCCATGTTTTCTGCTTTTGTTAATAAGACCTTTTTACATCTACTAAATATATCTTCATCATCTTCAGACTAATGACCCACTTGGATCTAGATTATCTAGATGTGCTTCCTATTATTAATTTCACCTCAAATTATAAACCTTATAAGGTAAAGGAAATCTTTCTCCTTTCCTTTTTCCTTATCCCTTTCCAATTCTCAAAGCTACCTCTCATGATTATACTGCTATTATGTTCATAACCAAGTGGAGGGTAGTAATTATTTCATATAAGACTTCTATAGTAATTTTGGTGATTAATATTTTTGTTGTCCTAAATTGGTGCTTTTTCAGACTTTTATTTTCCTTTCAAGGAGTACAATCCTGCAAATCTTGCATGAAAGCCCAATATTTAAAACAAACAAAAGCAGAGTTCTGTTTGATTTGGGGAGTGTATGCACAGCTATTTCTCACTTAAAAATTGTGTTCCCTATTCCCCAGAATCTGCTCTGTGCCATGCCATGGAGTTTCTGTTTGGAATACAACTTGGTAAATACTGATTTAATGATGTATAACAAGGGAGCATGAGTTTAGTTTTCTGGTGGTATGTTTAATGTTTAGCATCCTGAGAATGAGGTTTAGCTTCAGAGTGATTTTGGT